CACACACACACCACACACACACACACACACACACACACACACACACACACACACACACATTGTAGATGGCATAATATTGACAGAAATTGAATTAAACCTCTCCTACCAGTATTCAGAGGCCAGTTAACATAACAACATAACAATGAACATTGTGTGCACTCACACACAAACTCTCAGTAAACAAAATTGAAAAGGTTTTTTATCTTACTTTAAATTAGTGAGACTTCTGACATTCCTTGCTTTGAACAATCCTCCTCAAATCTGGCTTGTATTCCGTTGTGGCCACTCGAAGCAATTCTCTCACATGTGTGTCAGTCAGAACAGATCGATGCTTGGATTTCACATGTTTCAGGGTAGAAAACACAGACTCACAGACGTATGTTGACCCAAACATTGAAAGTAGCTTGAGCGCAGCCCGTTTGACATTTGGGTATTTTTCGATCGGCACAGTTTTCCAGAACTCAAGGGTCCCTTCCCTCAGAACAGGTTTCAGTCGGTCATCCTCTGAAAGTTCGATCATCTCCAACTCGGCCACCGCCTCGTCCTTGACTAGCGGGGCTTTCAAACAGTCCGTCTCAGCATTAAAAGGATCGACGAGGAACGTAATGTGTGGCCTTTTCACATGTAGATCATGGAACCGGGTCGCAAAGTTTTCCTGCAGGGTTTCAATCAATATTGCATAACGGGCTGTTTGCTTTTTCCGGGTGGCACCGGTGGCTTGTGCGCTTGCTTTTAGCAGAGAGGGAAAATGCGCTAATTCTCCCTTTTGAAGATGTGTCTTAAACAGTTTCAGTTTGTTAACAAACGCAAATACACTTTGCACTAAGTCAGGCAGCATTTTTAACTTTCCCTACAGATCCAGGTTCAGTCTGTCCAGATAACACAGCATGTCGACCAAAAAGGCCAGATCCATAATCCACTTGGGGTCTGAGAGCTCCGGATAATCCTTGTCCTTCTGTTCCATGAACAGTTTCACAGCATCCAACAGCTCAAAGAAGCGAGACAGCACTTTGCCTTTAGAAAGCCACCTCACAGTGCAGTGCAGCGGCAGGTCTCCTGGAAGCCCTTGGTCGAGTTCAGCGATGAGATTCTTAAATTGCCTGTGGTTAAGAGCATGCGTGCGGATGTAGTTTACGATTTCCATCACAGGCTTCATGACGTTGTCTAAATTCAGTGATTTTGACACAAGTTGCTCCCGGTGAATGATGCAGTGGAAATTCCAAAATTCGGGAAATGTGTTGTCAGCTTTGCACAGCCCCACAAGCCCGTTCACAGATCCGACCATTGATGGCGCTCCATCCGTGGCTATTGCAGTTAGTTTCTGCTTGGGCACATTTGCTTTCACAAACACATTTATCATTGTTTCTTTTACATCGATGCCACGGGTTCTGTCTTTTAATGGCACAATATCAAGGAGTTCTTCTTTTATAACACAATCCTTTGAGACTGATCGTGCAAATATTGCCAACTGAGGCTTGTCTTGTATGTCACAAGACTCATCCAATGCCACACTGAAAAACTCACGTTTGAAGATCAGAGTGTAACTGCACTTCGATGGCGGTGTTAATGTCCGATATTCTGCGTTCAACAGTGTGGCGGGACAGTTGGACGTCTGATACCGCTTGTTTCAGTTTTTTGTTTTCTGGAGACAAGATTTCAACCACGTCACTGAGGCATTTTTGAACAAACTCCCCTTCATTGTACGGCTTTTTAGCTTGTGCTATGTTCCAAGCAACTTGATAAGATGCAAGTGTTACGGTCTCCGAGTGCTTCGTTATTTTTTTGAAAAACTGTGTCTGCTTTTCTGCCTGACTTTTCAAGGTGTTTATCTTCTGCTTGCGAAGTTCCGTACCTTTTGGGAAGTCATGGTCGATGTTAGCATGGAGTGAGGTGAAATGGCGCTGAAGATTTGAAGCCTTGAAATGGGTTAATGCTGTCTGGCATATAAGGCAAAATGGCTTGCAATTGCGTTCGATAAAAAAATATGAACTCTCCCACTCTACTAAAAACGTCCTATGTTCGTCTTCATATTTTCGCTTAGCTGTGCATTTATTCCCTGCCATTTTAGGATCAAACTCAATTCATGGTCAGATAGTGTTTAATACTCGATTCTGATTGGTCAATTCAGAACACGTGACACATTGTTAATCCAGAACAGACAGACCGCTGTCAAGCAGTTCCTGCCGTTGCTACATTCAAACAGTAACAACGGACTATTTCTCTTAGCGGATGCATGTCATTTTAAATAAATAATAGCGTACTATTTTTTTAAATCAATAAAAACATTTTCTAAATCTATAAAAGCATTTCAATTAATATTGGGAGTCATATCGTTACTTTGTTGAGAATGTGGCCATGTAATAAGCGGGATAATGGGAAAATAACACCCTTCATGCAGATCTAGACCCCTCCGCTTCGCTCCTGATCAAAATTAGACGGCGGCGCTGTCATCTTCTCATACAGACACCTGACACCACACATACAGTACACACGTAGGGAGAGCCGGGACGAAAGTAACGGAGCGATTTTATCCGTGCCCAAACAACTTTGACTGGCCAAATTACGTCAGAATTATCAGCATTCAATACTTAACAGACCTACTAAATATCAGGTCTAACTGTCAGGAGTCCGTGTCTCTCCCCCACACTCACACATATAAAATTCGATATGAATTGAAGAGCCGCATGAAACTGGCTCTCGAGCCGCATGCGGCTCGCGAGCCGCGGGTTGGCCACCCCTGGCCTAGGGGTTCACATACTTTTTCCACCCTGCACTGTGACTGTGTACATGGTGTGTTCAATAAAAACATGAAAACATATAATTGTTTGTGTGGTATTAGTTTAAGCAGACTGTGTTTGTCTATTGTTGTGACTTAGATGAAGATCAGAACACATTTTATGACCAACTTATGCAGAAATCCAGGTAATTCCAAAGGGTTCACATACTTTTCCTTGCAACAGTAATTACTATAGTCTCTGATAACATCTATTAAGCATATCATGATTTCACAGGGAGCATCTGTTTTTTAATTTTATTTCTTAAGAATAAACAGGGTTTCATTTGTATATTCAGGAGGGAGATATTCGTCGCTTGTAAATGAAAACAGGGATGCGTTGAGAACTGCCTTTTTTCTCGTCCCTAGCATGGTGTCCTTGATAAAGTCTTTAATTTGTCCATTCACAGTGTATGTTAAAAATACATCTGAACTAGGGCTGCACGATATTGAAAAAAACTGACATTGCGATTTTTTTCCCCCTGCGATATATATTGTGTTTTTTTTAAATTATATTTAACCGGATTAAGGTATTGTCCTCCTGTGCCTTGCTCATTTTTTACCGGTGTTTTGATGGTCTGCAAACTAGCGGGGCGGGGCCTACTGTGATCTGATCAAGAATGATTGTGATTGGTGGTTTGCTGTGCATGCAGAGCCTGCATGTCACTCACTCAAGTACCCCTGACATGAGAGCAATGCAAGTTTTCCTTTTGTAGCAAGCAGCAAAATAATTGTAACATGACGTGTTTGAGTTAATTCACCTACTTAAGCACTGAGCCTGTTTTTCAGGTCTCAGGCTCGAAAATGACATTCCCAGAACAAATGACCATATCTTCCCTTCTAAAAGGGTTAAATTAATAATCTATTCTCTCAAAGTAATGATAAACCTGTGAGTTGGATGTAGAAAAGTCAGAATCAATATAGATGTTTTTTATTTTAAAGAAAATTCAGATTGAACATGGTAAAAAACTGTAAATTATAGTGTCCGTCCAAAAATTATTTTTTACTTATAGTGAAAACTACCCTTGGATGATGGTAAGGTAGACTAAAAGCTTTAGGAATCCAAAGTACAACATATAATAAGTACCCTGTATCAAGATTTATGCAAAACAAGTGACATTTGACCTTTTTAGAGAGATTTAGCAAAAAAAAAACACTTCTGGGGTCATTTGGGTGGATTTTCCATATCTCTGGCCCCCCTTGGTCGATTTTGACGAATGGAATCTCTTTATAACCGCTAGCGCCAATGGAATCGAGGGGAAGTTCTACACACATGAACAAATAAGGAGTGAGAGTGACGCGTAGCCAAAACCGGAAGCTGCATACACTCTGGTGGCTGGCTACCATTAGCAGCTAACTTTTGTGCTCCGATTTTTACATAAAAATGGAATTATGGATTATAAACAATTGCTTCAAAGCCACAGATACATTATTAACCTATGGATTAACCGATTCAGCCGCGTTTTTTCTCGTTTTAATGCCATTGAACACGTCTTTTGATCAGATTGACAGCTACGGTGAGACGATCTCCCGTAAAAGCGTGTTGTGATGTCTGTGTTTGCTTCCCCTGTCGCGAGATCGGATCGCTTAGTGGAGTGAATCTGTGGAGTCTCAGCTTTAATCGGATATATTGTATGTGCAGTTTTGATAAGTAATAAGGGTATCTTTATTTTGAATTCTGTGCTAAAGTGCGTTAGCATTTTTTTTTTTTTAATGAATAAAACCGCACGTCCCTGCGGTGTGAATATCGCGCATGCGCATATCGCGGTTATCGCCATGACATGATATATCGTTCAGCCCTAATCTGAACCTTAAATAAAATATTAGTTAGGACATTTCCACCAAAATTATTAGTTTATTAGAAAGTATACGGTAAAAATTATAGGTGTGATGAACCTTTCTCCAGTCATATACTTATTATTTTATTTATGTACTTTTTATAACGTGGCATATGTAGTTAGGCTACTTTTCATGATGCAACGGATATGCCCCATGGACTCCTATCTGCAATTAAGTGATATGTAATGTGTCATTTTAAAAGTAGGGTCATTTAGAGCCATTCTCCTAAATGGAAATGCCTGAAGCGTTGTGCTTCAGTGAGTATTTCATTGGCACCCGTGTGTACAGAATATTTACACTGAAATGACAAGCCATTTATTTAATGTTCTTTCATTGTTTTATTTTCCTACATTTTCAACTACTTCAATTGGATATGAATAAGACTTACCCAGTTGATTGTGGTGGATGACATGCATATCATCTTGGCTCTGAAAAGACAGAAATACTTTTTTCAACAATTACAGCAACAAAACATTTCTTCAAACACATCTTCAAATAATGACCTATATACATCCACTTTTTACAAAAGATGCAGAAAATGTCAAAACATGGCTTGTGTTAAGGAGCTCAGTTTCAGCTAAATACTCCATTTCGTCTTCCTAATCATTAATTAAGGCTTAGTAAATGAGGAAAGCCCTATGGGTTATTTGTAGAAATAATGGGTGATACCCCACGTCATTAGTCCTTCTTAATTGTGTGGGTTTTGTGCCTGCAGCATTTAAGCTCAGCGCATTCGGCTCAATTAAGGCACTCAACACTGTTCCACCTCCAGAGCTGTCGGGGTACGCTGCAGACCGTGGAGGGATGAGTAAATCAATCACAAGCCAAGCTAACTTTGAAGGGTTGTCTTTTACCTCCATCTTTCAGAGGAAATCTTTCAGTCTTGGGAGAAGGCGAGAACGTGCAAGTTCTGGCTCTTTCAAGAACTCAAGAGCGGCAGAGTATTAATAGATAATGACAAACCCAGGCCTGATTTGATTTATGACTTCCTCTAGACTAACAATCATTTTACTGGCAAGCTGTTGCAGCCTTCAGAGAGCTTAACTAAGTCATAAATTCACTCTCGGTGGGTGTGGTGCAGTGGTTACAGATAATCACTTTTGGTGGCTGTTGTGTGAAGAAGCCTATATGTAACGCACTATCTCAGCACATTTCGAGGGAGAGCAATTTTCATAATAGAAAAAGAAACCTATCAATTTAGTCGATTTCCTGCACATGAACAGTTTCATATGGCTGTCATGACCACATTTATTTTTTGGAGGGGCATTTGTTTCCTGCACTGTCGTATCTTTCCTGTTATATTAATCAGGCACATTTTCTGATGAAAGAAATGACAGAAGGAAGTTCTCCATATGCACAGCGATGTGGCGTGCATATGTAAGGCTCTTTGCCTTTCCTGATTCTTCAGGTGATCAGAGTTAAATAATATATGCACAGGCAGGCAAGATCATATCAGGATGGTTTAATTCAGTGGGTACAAGACATCAGCTTAATTGGACTCAGTAGCATTAGTCATGCCTGCAAGGTTTCTGTCTCATCTTATCAAACACTACTCTGAAATCATTTCCTCAGCTGAAGAGAGAGGGCACCTCGAGGAAGGAATGCATCTCACATACCCGGAGAATCTGACTCGTTATCAGATAATAACTCTAATCAAGCTTTGGTAAAGGCTAATACTCATAAAACAAAGTTGGTCGCTGTGACAGAAGACTGGCAGCTGCAATTTGTAGAGTTATATTTGTATTTATTCATGTTAGCAAACTATGGATAAGCTTAAAATGGGAATAATTTGGGTAAAACTGTGAGCTGGATATGGGGCCTGTTGACATGTGTTTTTGAGGACAAAGGAAGATGGGGGAAGGTGAGAGCATGTCCTGATTTGCATTCAACTTAGAACGAGCTACAGTGGTTGTGATGTTAAGAGAGGTCCCTTGGGTTTCTCTGGTGGTTATCAACAGTAGCAGTTAAGTGAATACTGTTCAAACAATACCTGTGTTTGTGTTTTATATTGATTTCTCTGTTTTATCCTTTCATAAATGTAAGGACTACAAATGGCTATAAACATTCTGGGCTGGTTGGAGTAAACAGGGTTTTATTGCTCTGTGGGGGAGGTGTAGGTATGCAGGCCTTGAGACTTTTGGTTGTATTGTGAGCCTGTTTGGTTTCCTGCTGGCCAGCGTTGCGTCTCCCAATGAGATGACCTGAAAAGATGACCAGCTGACCTAACACCAAACCCCTCCTTCTTACTCTGGTATATATCCGGTGGATCCCTGGCGTTCGGCCTCTTCTTCACATGCTGCCCTCGGGTGAAAGTAGCTCTGCAGTATGCGAACCAGTGCAGGAGTAAGCCGGCATTACTCCTTAAGCATTACAATATAACTGTAATATATCATGTTGTATTGTAATGATTGTATTGCATTGTCATATTGCCATTAAAGTAGATTATTGTTAACGGTTACTTTGTAGATATGGATTCCTTCCTGTATTATAACCAGCTTCATAGGAACGCGTGGAGATTTGAAAAGCGGATCAGATATCCCTTTACATCTCCAACAAAAGTTTTTCACTTATTCTTTTCCGACAGAGAGGAGACAGAAAATCAGTGCAATGTAACTGTAGGAAGAAATAAATGAAGACCTTCGAGGGATGAATTAAGTGGTTGCTGAAACGTTACCAATATTATTGAGTTGTGTGTGTCTGTGATGCATACAAGTGAACTACATGACACTACTGTAGATAAGACCTAATGTTTTATGGCAGGTCTTAATCAAACTTTAAGGAGAAATCTCTAAATCCAGTCGTATACTTTTACACATCAATTTGTAATGTTGCTGCATATTTCAGAAGTTATTTTGAAATGAGCTGTTGTAATATAGGCCTTGTATTCCCAGTATTACAAACAACTGTGCAGCGTTATGTTGTCTGTTTAGCCTTCAAGCTCATTGATGCATTACTATACCTCCACTTCTCAGATAATATGATGTTATTTCTGTATCTAATATTTAGATTGAATGCCTATATATCAGGTTATGTTGTATTTATACTTGTTTTAATGCTTTCCTACCTTTTTCATTATGACTATTATAAAACTCCAATGCTCTGTAGGCAAAATTAAAATCATGCAATTTATCCTGTAATTTTAAACGGAACGAAAACAATAAATCAATGTTTGTTTGTTTTATAATATACATAAATCTACTGTACGATCAAATGTAATCAACAAGGTGAATGAACATGTTTAAAAAGTCATTCTTTGGATCTTTAAATCCTGCACGTTGATCACTCTTCAAAAGAAAATCGCAGCAGTTGAGTGACACCAGGGCTACAAATCTGTCTCTGGTAAACGATCTTATAATCTGCAGAAAAATGAACTCGGATCAAGTCAAACATTGTTTTTGCCATTACAGAGAAATGAATTATCCTCAGCTTACAGAGCTCAACACTTTCTGGCCTTGTATGCTTCTGCACGCAGGTAACGCTCTCCCTAATCCCATCTGACAGCAGGCTGTCAGCCATTTGCAGCAGAATCAGAAACCCATAGCTGTTAGAAAAGGAATAGCTATGAGTCTACACTGTCTATCCATCTGAAGGGGTTAGTTTCACCATGCCTTGAGCGCTTTTGGTGTGTGGCACCTCAGCACTGATGTAGACAGACAGAAATGTTGTGCCTCGTGTAGCTAAACCTCAGAACAGCAGCACTGCGGCTACGGTTTTCCCAAAAGAGGTGTATAGCAAACTTCTTGAAAACGATGCTTAATGTGATTGTTACGTTATCAAGGACATAAGCAAAGACGACCCTTTGAGCCCTGCCTTTGATTTGGCGGCTCTTCAAAGACTTACAAGGCAAAGCTCCTGCCCCCTGCGACAGCTCTCAATCCCGAGGGCTCAGACGCTCCACTGATGTGTGTGACCTGTCAGGTCGCATTAGCTTTCTCTTCACTGATGGAAACAATGATTCAAGGTTGCAGGACTTTCTGAATTTTGACATATGAGAAAAATGTACGATGTTACCAGACGCTGGCTGTCTAGAAGATCCTTGGGAACCGAGGAGGACACAGTTATTAAATGGTGGCCCTTCTCTATTTAAATTAAGTGAGGATTCAAATGGTTTGTCGGTAAAGTGCAAATTGTCAGTTTAATTTAGAGGAGGCTTTCAGATCCATTGAGGTGTTTAAGAATTAACACGCCTTTTGTATGCTTCCTTAATATCAGGCTGCCAGAAGAAGTAATTTTCTATTCACAAGTAAAAGCCCTTAATGTGTGATGGGTTAATGGCTTGAAACGTCTGCTGCCTTTGAACATTAGCAGACAATTCTTCATATCCTCTTTCTGCATTTTGTTGACTTTAAATGGAAAATAGGAAAAAAAGAATGTTGATAACAGTCATTCCAGAATCAGGCAGTTAGCATCCCTGAAACAAGAATCGAATAGGGTGCCATTCACTGGATAGTTACATACATGACATCATGTTAGAGGATCGAGGTTGAAGCTGCATGTCTCAGATAAAAAGTCAGCATCCTGACTAGTTGGTGATCTACGAAGTAGGGAAATTATATAATATAAGGAAAATTGATAGACGAGAGCATTTTTCTTTTTAAGTTAAACCCGGCCAGTACACTGTATATAAAAGTATATTAACTAGAAGTCTACACTTCCCAAAATATAAGACAGAAGATAAATACTACACAGTGCATATGTTAATTGTGGACAGGCTTTTTATATAACCCATAAACCCACATGTAGTAAATGATGCACACCTTTGCTTTAACATCAATGCTCACCGAGGCCCACTGACTACTAGTTGGCAGACTTGCAGAGGATTGCAGGTTCGGGCAGATAAACACACTGTGATACATTCTTTCTCTAATGCTCTTGTGTTTTTGAAAAGGCAAAAAAAAAGACTTTCTTTTCTACGCTGAATTCTACTCTTATAAAATAAACTATGCACACTGCTCTGGCATGTGCCGAAAAACAGCAATAAATATGTCGTCAAAGAGCAATAAAGTTGCTAACTTGGCAACACTGAAAAAACATAGTAATTATATGTAACTTTAAGATGTAATTGATCGGTGATAATTAGATGTTTCTTTATGTATAACATTTGTGCTATGGTCTCTGTGTGAACTGTAGCGTAAAAGTGCTACAACTGGCATACAATGACAAATAAATTAACCTTGTCATTAACTTCTAATGACACAATTTTCATTTTAGCCTCCATTTCTCTCCTTTTGTGTGAAAAACAACAACGCAGACTTAAAATAGATTTGATTAACAGGTGGCTCAGCTTCGTTAACAATCTGGAATCTAAAAGTGTGAATGAGCGACTAATGTTGCTGCATTTCAATTTCACATTAGCAACTTAAATGTAATTAGCAGGATAAATTACAGTCAGCAGAATATTGCACTCCTGCAGGCCAGGTTAGATCTA